CGCTATCAACCTTGGGCGGGCCTTGGAGCGAGCGCCGCTGTTGTTGTCTGTTCAATATAGCACGTTGTTGGAGAGGCGCCTGGTTGGGCGAGGTGTGTGCAGACGCTGGGGCTCTGGTCGGCCCCAGGTTTGGACTGCCAGTCTTCGCGCGCAGCTCGGCCTGGACGTCAATACCTGGTGGAGCAAGAGGTTAGCGTGTGTACCCTGATAGATAGACGTCTTGATAAGATTGGGGCTACCTTTCTCTAGCAGAATCCTCTCGAGTAGAGAATTCTTATACCGGAGCATAAGGCATTCGTCGGCGGCGTTGCGGTGACTGTTCTGCAGGTTCTGCAGCGTGTCCTCATGGTGCTTTATGGTGCTCTCCAGCTGCTTGATGTACTCTGTACGGCGTTCACGGAAGGCGGCTTGCGCCTGTCTATTGCGCTGCTTGCGCTCTTCTGAGGTGGCATATATCTTACGACGCTTGGTTAGTCCTATCTTCGACATAGTGATTGGCGATTCAATTGCTGCAGCCATGACAGGCAAGGCAATTGGCATCAGGAAGGCTCACAGGTTTACGGCCGCCTTTGCGCTTCTGCTGCTGGGGCTCTTCCTGGGTATATGTCTCCGCCAGACCGGGTTCCGGCGACGATCCGATAGAGTCGGTCGAACCATCGCGCGAAGCCTCTGCCTTGCCCACGGGGGCCGTCATATCTGTTACGAGACTATCTCCCATCTACGGCCACCGTACCCCTCCGTCCAGATAGAGGGGCACCGAGGCGCCAAGAGCTGCGAGAGATGCGACAAAGGCAGGTCGAAGGAGATAGCAGGAGGCTCTGGTCGCTTAGACGCGCTTGTGCTGGGCAGCCGCAGCGCCGGGTCGAAAATCGATACGGTTTGTATGGGGTTTTGATAATGTATGATAAGAAGAGGGCGTTCGGGCCTGTGTGTGGTCGCGCAGTAGTTGTGAGGTAAGCTCTTGGGTAATGGAAACAGAGATGGGCTCGAACGGAGGGGCGGAGTGCTGGACTTGAAAAGGCGGGCGGACCACTCTCTGCTGCCCAGATCAACTCCTCCCGTGTGGTTAAAGCTCGCTCGACTCGCCTCGCCCCAGAAGGCCTCCTCTCAGGCGCGCAGCAAATGGCAGCCGTGCTCCCGCTGCTGGGCACTTCGCACGCGCAATGACGGCCAAGCGAGCGGGTGCGCGGTTGGCCGAACGCTCAGAATTTTCTCGCGGGGTGCTCACGCTGCATCACGGCTCTCGCTGTGCCAGACGCCTGGTGGACGACGCCGAACATGGCTGCCCCAGCCGAGCTGGATCGCGATGCCCCATGCGGCGTAGCCTGGTGGTTAGCTCCCGCGCCACTAGAAAGTTTTGTAGCCTTTCTCCGGCTTCTCCATGGACGCGCAGGCAGAGCGCGAGCCTGGCATTGTTATCTAGCAGGCGGCGCCCGTTCGAGCGCGATCAACTCGCGACGTGTATGCGTCTGTCTGATTTCATCCACGCGGCCATGAAGTCTTCCCGTGAAAAGCAAGCAACCAGCCGTCGTCGTCGCATCCACGCCAGGCCACCGACGTCGGAGCGCGCCCCTGCACCGGGGCCACGCACCTCGCCCTTATGAAGTCACCCTACTCGCGGACGGCATAGGTAAGGCTGACGAGCAGGTTCCATCTGGATGATCTGATATGACGAGGGTTGCATTATCGGCGCAGCTGGCGATAACGATCGATACGACGGCAGTCAATCTATACGACATGCCTCACCGATGAACCTGGGACGTCTCTCAGCCGTGACCAGGACAACGCCCGTAGCCATCACGCTCAAACTCTCAGGGTCATCACGTGGCCTGCCCCGGGGCGGCTATGGGCCCTACTAGTGGCTGCCAGATCTTGGAAGAAGGAGCCACCAACGGTCGCATCTGCCGTGTGCATTGCACACCACCACCGCACAACTGCTCTTCTGGACACGTTATTCCGCCAGCGCAACCACCGGCTCCCGAACCGCTACCGAAGTCTGGCCTGGGGATCGCCGAGGTCGTTGCTTTATGCACCACTTGAGCTCTGTTGGCCCGAAGCAGCCGTAGCGTCACGACGCTTTTTCTCGGCTGAGCAAGCAGGTGACCTATGGGGCGGGCGGTCGAGACTCGTACGAGGGCATTAGTTGCATCCTGTCGCATCGTGACCTTCCAGCCGTTGTTCGAATAGTCGAGACCCGTCAAATCGGCAACGGACATTCGGCATTGCCTAGGTGCGGACTGTCGGATTCCACACTTGAGTGCTTTTGAACAGAAAGCATCAAAGTGCCAATTGACGCCCGCGCATGTACATTGTGAACCGAATTCCCGAAAAGTCTATCCTATACACGTAGAGGTTTGCGAGTGTGAGGATGGCCTGAAAATGTAGTCTCACTGAATCACTGTAGAACAGTTCACAGACATGATATATGGGCTGAGATCCTCATTAGCGCGTCTGAGTACATTGCTCAATAATTTCAACGCAGTGAGATGCGCTCTTTCCAGATGTCAGGTTTGTTCCTGCCAACTCCAACCGCCACGTGCGGTACAATCGTGTCAAGAGCACATGGACAAGCTCACACGGGCTCCTTCTCTCGCTCCTAGATGCAAAGTCGGGAGAGATCGTGACATCCGACCTTCACAATGCACACCTCAGGCGACAGTCCTCACCCCTACCAGGATATCCAAGCATCGCATAGTCTCATATGACTTCCATCCTGTTTTCAGCAGTATAGATCCCGCATCAATCACTCGGTCAGCTTCTAGTCGCTAGTCGCCAGCTTCGCGCGCAGTCTATCGTTCACGAGGTGCTCAGCGCAATATCGCTTCTCAAAGCATTGCTGACGGTAGGTAGCAATGACATTTTCCGAGATCGCGGGACGGCTGCTGAAAGGGTCAGGACACTCGCAGCCGCCGCCTGGCAAAGAGCACCTAATCGAATCTCATCCTTCGCCAGAGCGAGCCAGCATTTCCTCCTTTCTAGCTTCGCCCGAGTCAGACAACGGTCATATCACAGCCCGCGAAGGCATGCTCAGCATCCATCTTGGCGAACAAAGAGGACACTCCACCGCCTCTTCGTGGGCGAAACCTAGACCCTTATCAGACATTCGCGAAGTCACCGAATCAAGCTTTGCAGACACTCTACCCCGGAACGCCCTGACAAACAACTTTCCCCGGAGCACCTCGCGCACGGAGATGTCGCGGAAGCCCTCTGTTGCGACAAGACGACGTCCGAGCAACGACAACAGGTACGGTGAAAACGTAGAACCTGATCGAAAGAATAGCATCGAAAGCAACGGCATAAGATCCATCCACAGGGATCGGACGTCTACATCACCATCTCCATCAAGCCCTGCAGATAACCACAGCATATCGAGCATATACAGCATACCAGCCGGCACCGTCCCGCCACGATCGTCCTCGAGACCTCGTGCACCTAGCACTTCTCGAACCCGACAGCCACAGCAGATACCACCTATACACATAACTCAAGCGACTGCGACGAACACGCTCAGCGCCATACCTACTATACCGTTTCCGCCTCCTAGCAGTAATACCAATACTATCATTCGGCATGGTCAATCGCAGTCCCCCTTGCGCCACATTGTGACTCGCCTTGACCCCATAACTCATGATACCCACCGACGCATACCATCCAGAACATTTGTTCGCGATCCACTATCGAAAGAGCTGCTAGAGTTTCCATCACACCGACATCCGCGAATTGACCTTGGCCTGGACTTATCCGCATGTATATTCGTGGGCGGAGGCTCCATCGAAGGGACCGTCCAGATAAACGTCGACGATGCAGAGCGAATACGTCATAGAAGGACTCTGGACATTGCCCGGATATCTATCGATCTTCTTGGGACTGAGGAAGTGAGCGGCAACAGACGAGCTGTCTTTCTGAACCTCGCTACAGAGCTCATCGATGAGCAGAACCCGCCGCCTCAGAACATGGTAGATACCCAGGAGCCAATAAGTTCCGCGGATCTTTTCTGGCATTTGATGCCTTCTACGACCAATCTCGCGTTCAATCTGAGCCTGCCTCTCAACGTTGGTCCTCCCCCTTTCCATTCAAAGAATGCGAGAATCCGCTACATACTTTGCGTATCACTTCTTATCCGCGATCAAGGAAGGCAGTACATTGTCAGGACTTCCGAAGATGTCACAGTGCTCTCAGTGTACGATCGTATGAGATATCTAACCTTTCTATGCCTACTCTCACAGTACTGACATGCTCGCAGCTGAAAAGGCACTCATGTCGCTACCTAGTCCACTGACTGCCTCAGACGAGTGGATAAAGCCCCGAGAAACTACCGTGGAAGTCGTGCGCGTCACTGCAGGCTTGCATCGACAAGTTTGGGTCAGCGGAACTAGTCTCTACGTCGATGTTCATGTCGCCAACAACAGTCGCAAGCTAGTCAAAAAGATTGAGCTTCAGTTGGAGAGGGATATACTCTGCTACAAACACGTCTGTTATGCGAGCTTGACATACTATCTTGTCATGATGCTAATGAGAGTGCTTTGTAGGTTGCTGCGGCTACGATGGAGAAGTCTGCGGGCCAGGCTCGCATCTTTGACAGCAACGAGCGGTCTATCCTCAGTAAAGCAGTCGTCAAGCACGGTTGTGCCGGCTGGAACGGTGTTTCTGCACAACAGACTCATATCAGGACCTGTGATCTCGAAATACCCCGTGGCCACGGTACGGTGAAGTGTGGTATGTACATTAGCACGGAGTCGTGTACTCGGTCCCTAACCAAGACAGGCAAATACTTCGAAGTCAGATACTTTCTAAATGTCATTGTCGCCAGCGGGCACACGTAAGTCTTGCCGTCACTATCACCGATCAAGCTGACTCCCTGCAGAAAGCTCGTCACCGTCCAACTACCAATCGTACTCATCCACATGGTGCGTCTCACTATCACCCTCCTGCGCATCCACTAATCACCACACCCTCAGAACTCTCTCGACGTGGTCCCCAACTCCGTCGCTCAAGTCGCCATGGCTATAGAAGAAAAGCGCACAGCCCGCCATTCTCCACCGCGCCTAGGCCGCCGCCCATCCCAATCCGTCCAAGGCCGCGCATTTGCAGCACCACGCATGCAATCCTTGGAACGCATGCGCGCACGCGACGAAGCCATCCAGGAACTAGGCCAAGCCCTTGAACAAAGCCCCCGTAAATACGGTCTTCGTCGCGCAAACTCCAACTTCGACTACCGCACCCCGCCTTCCAACCGCAAAGGCAGAATCCTAGGCGACGGCGAAGCAGCAGACCTTCAAGACCGTCTGCGCCGTGTAAGATCGAATGAGACGATTGGGTCGCGACCCCCAACTCTACACCGCGTCAATTCTACACGGTCCAGACGAGGCGCTGCATCAGCGTTTGGATTCCGAGAAGCAGAGGTTCGAGAGGACATTGAACTTGGGGGGCTGGGTGCATCGGGTGATGGGCCCTTGAAGGAGAGGTTGGAGAGAACTAGTGATCGGCAGTATCGGTTCAGCAAGAAGAAGAGTGTGGAGAAGTGGAAGGGTGTAGCGAATGTGGGGGTTGGTTGGTTGAAGGGGAGTGGGGTTAAGGATGAGAGGGAGAGGGAGGGATGGGTGTGATGTGCGCACTTTGCTTCCCTTGACAGGCTTCCTGTAAGTTGGATAGCGCGTACGTTACGTTGAATGATGATACTTTTCCCTTTGGTTCTACTTGACTGCGCCATCGTCACATATGGTAGAGATTTAGTAAGTGACCGTGAAATTGGTCAAACATAAATGTAATGTTTTTTAATTTAGTCCGTCCTATGACAGCCTGAATGCTTTGATTTATGATACAATCATGTCTTATAGTAGTCATTAACCCCCTCTTCATCTTCCTTATGCAATATCATACAGTATTATACATGGTGTGTCGAGGTGAACGTGATAGGAAAGCTTGCGCAACGGTAGAACTCCATGCAACTAGAAAGCTTATGACCTGCTCTTGGCAAGCTCAGACTGAGCAGTCGACGTAGGCCCACCCTTGACACGCTCGCCACCAGTAACCTTCTTCTCTCCCTCAGTGATGTCGTGTAGCGCCTCGCTGGTGATGGGCTCCTTGGCGTGACTCTGCGCCTGCGCAGTGGGACCTCCAGGTACGGGACCATCCTCGCCGGTGAGCTTCTTCTCCGCATCGTTGATCTTGCTTAGCGTCGACGAGTCGAGCTTTCCTGATGCGTTGGAAGTGTTGGCGCCAGTGTTGTTGTTGTTGGACGGAGCTGAACCGGCTGTGAGAGCAGACTGAGCGATGGATGTGGGACCTCCTTTCATGACCTCATCGGAGCCGGTGAGGACCTTCTCGCCCTCGGTGATGTCGTGGATGACTTGTGCAGTAAGGTTCTGGCCAACGTGCTGCTGAGCTTTGGCGGTAGGACCGCCCTTGTGCGGCTCGTCCTTACCGGTGATCTTCTTCTCGGCAGCGGTGATCTGCGAGATGAAGTTGGAGTCGACCTGGACAGACATGATGCGTGTTGTTGTGAAAGTGCGGTGGTTGCTTAGGTCGTTGATGTTGTTCTTGAGCGGTGCTCTTTGCGATGCAATGCGAGCTGTTGGTCGTGCTGCGAGGAAAACGTTGCGGTTGATACGGAGGAGTCTGGAAGCCATTGGTGCTGCTTGTTTATATGTCGATGGGATAATGAACTGGAAGGTGCAACTGTGTGAGGTGTACAAGCTGAATATGTAGTGTGATGGAGTACTGATGTAATGCGAAATTGATATCGTCTGAGGTGTGCGCTCAACGTTACGTTTACTATGGGGAAAGATGGATTGCAATGCGCATTTGCAACTTGTCGGTCTGCCAGTGCACGCAAATCTCTGCATCAATGGCGACGACATCGTGCTGATGACCCTGAGATGCAGGTACCACATCTCCGATGGACGCGGCGACTGTGCGATGCGCGCGCATGATGTGGTGGAGCCATGATGTCAGCATTCTGGGGAACTGCGGCCATGACGATTCGGGTGCACTAGCGGTGAGCTAACATGGCGATGCGATTTAGGGGTCCAGAGACAGAACTCAGAACATCAATTACGACGCGATCAATGCAAAAAGTAGTTGCTCAGCTACTGAAGGTCGTTCGAGTGGGCGTAGTTCACTTTGGTCTGACGCTTCGGAGATTGCGGGAGTACCGGCTTTGGTGGCGCATGTCAGACCATACGAGGTTCTCGCCCGTTGCTTGATTGCAACGCCATTGGATATTAGCAAGTATCGTTTCGGTCACACCTACTTGTACGGCATGCGTTACGCCTTGCTACGTTGCGTGTATACAGCCAATTGCTCCGGTATGGCACTCGCGGCGATAAGGCATGCAACGGAACGACTATGAGGCCGCTGCTGCAGAAGCTGGCAGCCATATAAGAAGAGTTGGTGCATTGGATGCTACGCGCATGAAATTTACAACAGGACAAGAAACCATCTCATCGCTGTGCAGCTCTTACGAATTAGATTCCCAGCTTGATGCTACCTAGGTACACTTCTACAATGTCATTCATCAATCCAGCCGCACCCGTGTCTCTCCTAGGTAGACATCGCGTCCTCAGTCCCACGGCAGCCGTCCGGGTCTCGCCTCTTTGCCTCGGTGGCATGAATTTCGGTGAAGCATGGAAGGCCACTCTCGGAGAATGCACCAAAGAAACGGCCTTTGCAATGCTGGATTACTTCTACGAGCAAGGCGGCAATTTCATCGACACCGCCGTCAACTACCAGTTCGGCGAAAGCGAAGAATGGATCGGTGAGTGGATGGAAGAGCGAGGAGTCAGAGATGAGATGGTACTTGCGACCAAGTTCACTGGTATGCAAATCACCGAGAGGGAAAAGGAAGGCGGTGCGAGGTGCAAGAGTAATTATGGAGGTAATAGCGCGAAGAACATGCATACAAGTATTGAGCGTTCGCTGAAGGCGCTCAGGACTAGCTACGTCGATATCGTGAGTTCCTTCTCCGAGCTCTGTATTCCGCTACGACTGTTGTGATTGACTGCCTCATAGTACTACGTCCACCTGTGGGACTCAACGGCCTCCATACCGGAGCTGATGAACGCACTCAACGACCTCGTCTCCTCCCGTCGAGTACTCTACCTAGGCATCTCCGATACCCCGGCCTGGATCGTAGTAAAAGCCAATTGTTACGCCCGCCAATATGGCCTCCGCCAGTTCTCAATCTACCAAGGCCGTTGGTCCGCCGCTGACCGTTCCTTCGAGCGCGAAATTATCCCAATGGCACTCGATGAAGGCATGGCTCTAGCACCTTGGGGCGCCATTGGCGGAGGAAGCTTCAAGACGAGAGCGCAAAGAGAAAAACCCGAAGTCGGCGGCAGGAAGATGGAGATGATGGTCATCGGCAACGAAGAAAAGGTCAGCAACGTGCTCGAAGATATCGCAAACGCGAAGTCGCCAGTCCCGCCCATCACTTCCGTCGCTCTCGCATACGTGATGCACAAGTCACCTTACGTCTTCCCCATCGTCGGCGGTCGCAAGATTTCGCATCTCGAGGGTAATATCCAGGCTCTTGGTCTGACTCTTACGCCAGAGGAGATCCAGCAAATTGACACGGCTTATGGCTTCGAAATGGGATTCCCCCATCAGTTTCTCAATCCAGAGAATACAGCGATCATGGGACCTGAGGACAATCGATTCGCGAATAACATGGGTATTTTGGATCATGTCAAGGGACTGAAGCCTATTGCGCCGCATCAGGGGGCGGTAGAAGAGAAGTGAGTAGTGCTTCCGTTGGAGCAGGCGACGTGGTACTCGCCGAAAAAAGATTGCATATGTTAGCTCGTAGAGACTACGGAAGGTGAACGGGCTAAGGCACACATTACAAAGCCGCAGCGCGAAGGCTTCAAAAGCTTTCGTATTATAGAGAGTGAAGAGATAAGTCAGCCTGTAACTTTCCTCTTCCACCCTCGTCATTAAAGTCCGGCCGCCTAACCTAGGCGTCGATTGCATCTGCATTCATTCACTTTTATATGTGCGCCAAGACACAGAGTTGCAGCCTCCGCTTCCTTCTACTAGTCTCAATTTGTTTGTACCTCTTCATGCACCGCTATGCTCGCCATATTAGCTCCAGCTTGGAATCGATATCCTTCGACGTGAATCTCAAGCACCCACTGAGCCCTGAGTATGATTCCAGAACCCCTTCTCAAAAACCCAATATACAAAGAGAAGGCACAAGCAACAATGTCTTCTTTACTGCTACGTTCCGCCAGCGCCAACGTTCGCGTAGACGACAAGGTCTGGGACATGATCTTTCCTGACGCAAAGACCACAAAGAACCAGAAGGCCGCCGGAGACACCGCTCAGTCCCCCGACTCGATCACCGCCAAGGACATTGACATCCGAGATTGGTCCTTTACAGAGCGCAAGACACTCGCGTCCAAGGAAGACCAAATCAAAATTGTAGTCGACTCCGAGATCGTAACGACGATGTCGAAGCCACTGTTCCGCGCGACTTCGACAAAGACTAGCGAACTCCTCGGAAAAAATACATTCATACTACCCAAAGCTACTGACGCAGACGCGATATGTGGACTCATCGAATACCTCGAGGACATCATCTCAAACCCTACTAAACCCTCGCCATTTATCCTCCATCTACCCATGACAATATCTCTGGGCGTATGTGCCGCGGCCTCGGCGCTCGGGATGGACAAGTACGTCGACAACCTATACAAAGGGTGCGAAGACCTCCTACGGACCTGCATACCCTCTTACGAAACCATCTCCCTCATCACAACCTTCAGGACGCGCACAAAGTACTTTTCACGCCTCTTCCGCATCCTCGTAACCAACCTCGCCATAGGTCTTTCAAATAACACGATACCCGATGAAGTAGGCTTGGAGGCGTATTGCACGCGCAATCCTATTCTCGACAAGGCAATTAAGAGATCACATAAGAGGTACGGTAGTCTGGAGTTGAGAAGGATATATTGGGAGCGCAAGAATGGGAAGTGGGAGCGGGCGGTTTGCAAGGAGATGGCGGAGGCTCAGGCGAGAATTGATTGGGATAACTTGTATGATGGGCCTGCTAGGGATAGAAAGTAGAAAGCAAGAGAGCGAAGTGTCACTCATGTTTGCATGTTGATGTTCCCAAAGTACACATCATGAAGAATAATCCAAGCCTTCAAACCTACCCGGTCAACCTTGTGTCTCTTCGCCTCCCTCTCATTTACCCTTCCCAATAGCCTCAAAAGCATAACCCCTTGCCTTCCCCGTCTCCCTCATCCTCCAACTCTCAATATACCCCTCTACCTCCTCACACCCATTCTCCTCCCCCGGAACAGGCTCCCCCCACGTCCCCCAATACGGCACAACACCCGTCCACGTCTTCTTCACCAACGTCTTATCCGCCAAATCCTTCCTATCCTCACTCGGCCCACCCGTCCTAATCTTCGCACTCGCACTCTCAATCCTAACCCTAAGTATACTCGTACTCTTCAACTCCGCACTCGACGGCGGCACCCTACTCTTCTCCCAGCGCTCCGGCAACATATTATCAGTAATAGCTTTCATAGCGTACAGCGCTTCATCGGGGTCTTGAACGAGCTCGGCGTAGCCGTAGACGATGGCGGAGCGGTAGTTGCAC